TTAACTCCTTTCGGGCTCTTCTCGATGATCAGGGTTCCTTCAAACCCATTCTTTACTGCCTCAACAACGGATGTGAGAGCAGGTTCAGGATCATGTCGAATGATCAGTTTGGAGTATCCTAGTTTCTTGATGTCGTTCAAAAGTACTTTGGATCCATATGGACCTTTTGTCACACCTTTATAGGGCAACACATGAGCAAAAAGATGCTTCGTCCATCGATCTCTGACAACAAGAATTGGTGCATGGGTCTTCTCGTCCAAAACTACATCATCAGTTCGTGAATTCATGAAACAGTAGTCTACAGTTACTACTGGGGTTGTCTCATCGGTGTGGTCTATCTTCCTGTGGGGGTTTGCCTTAGCTTTTCCCCTTACACAGGCTTCACACCAAGACCTAAAAGGGAAGTGTGAAACAGCATGCTCTTCAGACTCTTTTCGCGTCGGGCGAATGGGAGCATGGATTTTGAGCTCAGGCGGCACTTCGTCGCCTGGCTCGGCCTCTTCGGCCTGCTCGTCCTCTACCGGACTTACCCATTGCGGTGCCGGACGAAAGGGTGGAATGCAAGCGGCACAGAACAGACGCCGTTGCTGAACGAGATCGGAATCTTAGTCCCGTCTCGGGAGATCTGTCCACCAGATCCGTGCATCTGAATGCACCAGCCCTTGCTCATAAGGGCCCCCGCGGAGAGCAGCGGTTTTGCAACCGCCATCACCCGGAAACAGCAACGTCCATTGAGGGAGTTCTGGCCGATGCCGATGGTCACCTCGGCATCGATCTTGCCAAGGTCCTTGACCACTTCGCCTGAGGCAGTCTTGTAGACTTTGCAGGTGCCTTCAGGCTGGATAGGCTTGTAGCCCAATGCGGTGGCCAGTTCAACAGGGATGCAGGAGGTCGCGGCTCCTGAATCCAAGGTCACCTGATGAGCCATTGGTGTTTCCATGGATGCCAGCTCCAAACTCCTGAGAGCTAATAGATCCTCCTCGCCCTCATCTGGCTCACTCGAAGGTGTGGGATATCGTTTTCCCTTTCCCTTCTTGGCCTCACGGGCAGCATCCTGAGTGGCCACGTTGACGGCTCGAGTCAACTGCACTTTCTTCTGCTTGCCCTTTCCTTGGCCCTTCTCGGAGGCAGCCGGAGCCGAAGCGGCTCGGCTTTTGCCCGGGGATCGTGACCGGGACTTCAGCCGAAGCGTCTGCCTTGGCGCTTCGCTGGATTCCTCTGGCTTGGGTCCTGGTCCACGGAATCGCTCTAGGTGCTCTTCAGTCGAGCTCTTGAACCAGGCCATGCGCTCCTCCTTGGTCTTGCCCTTCTTCTCAGGAGGTGGAGGTGTCTTGGCAATGCGCCTTTGCTTTGGCGTCTTTGGGCCAACCTCATCTTCCTCCTCCTGTTCTTCCATCATCTGCTGCATATGGGCTGTCATGTAGAAAGGACCTCCTTTCTTGACAGTCTCAAGCTTTGGATCTTCCATCTTCAAATGCTTTGCCACATCTTCGGGCTTCAGATCCATGTCGGCATCTTTCACATGCTTTGGCGCATCTTTTGAAGTTGGGCTGCCTTGCTGTCCCTTGGCAGTCTTGATGCGCTTTCCCATCTCCTTCTGCTTGATCGTCCATTCCTTTGCCCACTGGTTGAGGACTTTTGGCGGGCAACAATTCAAAGCCATATGGTGGTTCCATAGGCCGGTGTCATTGTCACACCTCAGGGCCTTGTTGCACGCACGGCAGACCATGTTCTTGCTGCCATCTCTGTTCTTGTGGGTGCATTTGGCTACCCATTCATCATAGCTGAGGATGCGCTCTTGGAACATGTGATCGAGCCATGGCACGGTATCTTTCTCTTTTTCTTCTTCTTGTCCATCTGACTCCTCGTCAGCTGGCTCAGTGCCATTCTCATCCTCTTCAACTTCACCTTCAAACTCTTCTTCTTCTTCGAGTCCCTCGAGCTCAGTCACATCAAGGGGATTGATGTTCTCCATGACTGGAGCTGCGAAGGATGGTGCGCTTGTTGCTCCTTCGCCTTGGCTTTCGACGCGCTTCATCACAACATAGTCCTCTGGGTTGAACCCAGCTGCAGTGAGCGCCTTGTCGATGACACTGCGGGCTGGATGGCTAGTAGCCGTCCATGTCTGGCTTTCCCGCTTCATCTCTGCCAACTCTTGAGTGGAGAGATCCTCGATCTTGGGCTCCTTCTCTTTTGGCTTCTCAGGCTTCTTTGCCTTTCCTGGCTTCTTGTAGCCACGATGCCTCTGGGCCTTTTCTCGACCTCGAGGCTGAGGGGCTTCATCAAACTTTCCCTCATCATCTTCATCATCCCAAGCTTGAAGTCGACCAGTACCCTTGGCACGAGCGATCTCATAGTAGTCGAGCTCCTCAGGGTAATTGGCCTCATAGTCGCGCCAGGATTCGAAACGATCCTGGGCCTTCTCAACGCGATGCTGCTCGGCGCGCTGACGGCTCTTCTCTTTCTTCTTGGCCAATCTCGGGTCCATACCTGATGCCAAATCAGCTGAGAGCCTTGGCGACTCCGCCGGAACCGAAGCGGCTCGGCGAGGAGTTGGCCTCTTCAGCAAGATCTTGGCTTCTCTCTCCTTTTCTTCATACTGTTCTTTCAGCCTCTTCATCTCGGCCTGTTGTTCCAAGATGGCATCATTGGCTGCTTTGCCTTTGGCTTCGGCCTCTTCGATGGCCTTCTGGATTGTCTCAGACTTCCTCTCATACAGCTCGCGATTGGACTGCATGGTCTCTTGGATTGCTTGGTTCATGACTGCAATCCCAGCAGCTGCAATTCCAGGACGACCTTTTCCAGCTCCTGGCTTCTTTGGCATAGCCTTGACTTCAGTCTCAGCTTTTGCCTTGGCTGCTCCACGAGAAATTGCGGCAGGTGCTGCTTTCTCCATCTCGATGGCAAAGAGGGTGGCGATGTCAGCGGAATACTCAGGCTCGGGTTGATGCTCTTGAGCCATAGAGGTTTCAGATTCCTCAACTGAAGCTACCTTCTTACTTTTACCCTTGCCTTTACCTTTAGAGTCTTTGCCTTTGCCACCTTTGCCTTTACCCTTGGAGTTTTGGTTGTACCAACTACTCCTGTTCCAATCATTCTTATACCAATCGTTCTTGTTCCATGAGTTGTTCCATGACGAGGGATTGGACCATGAAGAACCTTTTCCCTTCTGTTTACCTTTGTCGTTTCCCTTGCCTCCATCTTGACTCTTTCCTCTTCCTTTGCCGCCTTTTGAGCCACCTTTGCCTTTTCCTTTGGCTTTAGCCAGACTTGCAAGTGAAGACTGCATCTGGCTGGCAGCTGCGGCTAATGCATCAACATCCATTGGTGCTGATCCAGTCTTTGCTTCTTTTCGGCTCTCGATGTTCTCGAGGTAGGCCAAAATCTCTGACTTCATGATGGCATAGTCAGTGAGTCTCGAACTCTGGAGGTCAAGGTGATCTTGAAGTTTGGCTGGACACATCTGCTGAAGACAACTTCTTGCGATGTCATCACCAAGAGCTTTCTTCTTCCGCTCTTCATACTTTCGCCTGATGTTTTCCCAGGCTTCTATGCTCTCTCTGAGCTTGTCCAATGCACACTGTTGTGGGTGCAGGACCTTCTTCAGCAAAGCTGAGTTTGCTTGTGGGTTCTGTGGATCATACTTGGTGATCAATCGTCTCAATGCCTCTAGGCCAAAGTGCTGACCTCTGGAGGTATTCTTGACAATCTCGAGGGCTTCTCCCTCACACAGTGAGATCAGAGCCTGTCGGGCCTGAGCTGAAACAAGCTCGGCTCCTTCAGGATAATCATCTTCCAGAGATGTCTCATTGATCTCTGTGTCTTGATGCTCTTCGAGGAGCTGAATGCACTTTCCTGCATTCTTGTGACTTGTCTCAATCCAAGTCTTGAACTTGAAGTACCATGAATCCCAGGTACCTGGGTGTCCACTGAACTTGTCAGGCTTTGGAATGCCTTTCAACTCGGATCTGTCTCTTACTTCCACGCTAGTGGCTATGTTCCTTGTGATTGCCGTTTGTTGTGTATATGCTTCTGCCATTGCTCGTTGCAATTGGCTCTGCCCCTGTGCTAGGGCTTGCATCATCTGTGCAAATTGTTGTGCCATGTCTGTGGCCTGTGGTGCCTGTGCTCCTGGCTGTTGCGCCATGTTGACTTGCTAGCCAGGGATTGAAGCAATCCGGCTTTCCTGCAAGTGATGCTTGTTTTGTGAATCTCTGGTGCCAGAGCCGATGCGGCTCGGCGACCTTCGATTCGCAGACGGTAGCCGGGTCTTAGAACCGCGGCTCCGCTACCATGAACGGAGAATTTAGGCTCTTAAACTCTGTGACCCCAAGTCACTGTCCCAAAGGTTGTAATAGAAGCTTAGGCACACTTTTAGCTCCACTCCAAGCGTAGCTCTGGTAGTGAAATGAACACAAAAGTAAACCACAACTTGAACAAACGGCTGCAGTGAAACATACATCTATACAAGCTATGTCATGTACATGTAACTGGTGCTACATCTGATCACCTAGGAAAAGCCAAAAAAACAAAAAAACAACTTGGGAAACAAAAAAAACACAATTCTGGGGAAGTCTTGAGGAAAGGGGGGGGTCCAGCCAAGAGTCTCTGAGAATTGTTTTTTTTGTTTTTGGTTTTTCCAAGTTTTTTAGTTTTTTTGGTTGTTTTCAATGTTTGTTGTTTTCTCTATATTTTCTCGAGACTGCTTGTGTTTGTTTTCCAGTGTAAAGGACATTGAGGCAGCTTTCACAGACACATAGCATGAATGCAGGCCACAGTGGGAAGTTTATAGCACATAGATGGAAGTAGGCAGCAAAAAAACATAAAATACGCACTCTGGTGGTCCCCTGTTTTGAAAAAAAAGGGTCGGCGGCACCAGGGCGGAGAGCTTACAATTACATGCAAAAGATGCACAGTGAGTTTCCTATCATGACCCTTGACCGGAAGCAGCTGCAGTTCATCTCGACTTGCTCGATTGCAAAACAACTGGGGCACCGTGCCAAGCGATCCTGGGTCGAACCGCGACGATGTGGATTTTGGACTCTCCTGCACCAAATGGAGCGGCAAACATAACAGCTTATGAGTTGACAACATGTATTCTTTACTAAACAAAACAAACTGCCAAGAATTGATCATCAAACACCTGCAAAGTGCAACTTATGTTTGGAGAGAATGACAACTTCACAAATCTTTGGACTCATGTTTGCTGCCTCTATGACTGGAAAGCCCACGTGGACATCACGTCCAGGAGGAGACCTCATCAAGCAGATCAAAAAGGGCTTAGCAATTGTCGAACATAAGCATGAAATCACTGAAGCAGAATGCTTGGCTTGAGATCCCGTTGGAGGCCATCACTAGTGGGGTTGAGGCCATCGCTACTAGGTTGGAGGATACGTATACTGTATATATAGTTGTAAATAGTAGTAATAAATATATATATATATAAACAAAGTGGATGGTGCAAGACTCAAGTCTCTTGCCTTGGATCCACATGGCTTGGGTGGCTCGATTCAGAGCTTGGCTCAATTACCACCTGGAGCAAACAAACAACTCGATGAAAAGGTCCTCACAATCACCATGCAGCAAGCGAAAGTCTTCCAAGTGACTCTTTGTGCTTCTGGAGTTTTAGGGTGGCTTAGCCAAGTGGACAGGAATCTGCAAAGGCGCCAGGGAATGCAAGCCAAGGGCGGGCCCAATAGTTCATGTGAATTGATAGAGTGAACTGGTGCCCCCTCGAATCCAAACGAAGCCTCGTTCAATTCCTCAACTTATGTGTGATCAAAGTCTTTTAGCTTGGGGCGGTGCATGGTAAACAATATATTTTCCGTTTATGGTGGTGTTGCAAATGTTAGGATAGTACGTGAGCCTCTGAAGCATTGTGATGATGAGGAATTGCCAATGAGCTGTGGGTAATATGACATGGGTGAAGAATGCCCATTTGCGTAGCCGTTAAATGCCACTGAGATGAAGTTGTCACGAGATCCAGCTACGATGCTCAAATTCCCGTGTCTGCACGCAATCAAAAGATGCGACCGTTCTAGAACGCTTGCAGGGACTCAATGCACTTACTCAATTGTTTCAGCCAGCTTACAGGGGAGGGAAGGAGAGGAAGGGAGGAAGGTTCATGGATCTTTGTCAGATGCCAGAGAGACAGACAAAACCACACAACAATGACAACCAGAGAAACAAAAAATGAACAAACGAATAAAACAAAAACATCGCACGAAGCACCTTTCTCGGAAACCCATTTGGCAGGACACGCAGATCGAGCGTCTAGAGTGCAGTCAGCTTGACGTAAATATTAAATACAGCGTCAACCGCGGCTCTGATGGCAACACTTTTGTTAAGCAAATCATTGCGTTCTCGGCGCCCCAACAGTTTTTGACCCATAAGTACGCATTTAAAAAGTATACATCTCAACTAGATTGTATCTCATGAAGGGGCTACTCCTTCGAACAGCTTTCGGTGCTCACCCTTCGTTTCTCTTCCATTCGCATGGTCTGATCTCGCCAGTGGCGCTGATAACCTGTGTTCAAACAGGATTTGCGTTGGGATGCTTCGCAGCACATACCTCCCCTCAGGCGCAGTCTCTCTCCTTTGGGTAATCTGACTAGTCAGATGAACAATGCAAACCCAAGTCGTCCAAGACCTGCATGATTATGTATACTGTATATATCAGTATCTAGATACAAGTTCAATGGATACGCCCGCTTCGGATGCAAGGTCATGGAGACCGCTCCAAGATGGGATGGCTGGCAATGGATCGACAGGAAGATAAAGCACGGATTTGCACATTGGATAAACAAGTAGAAAGGATGGATGGAGGGATGGAGGGACGGCAGGATGACAAGAATGAAGAATTACAAAGAAGGAGGAGTGATGGATAGTGGGAAGGATGGATTGGATAGATTTCAGTGTAGATTAATTGCCTTGTATCACCTCGCTACTAGGTTGGAGGCCATCGCTAGTAGGTTGGAGGCCATTGTATGTCCCTTCTGGTGCACTTGAGTTCTGTCGGCACCCGCAGCCACATGCGCCCTTTGCCCGTTCCATTAGTCTCTGCGCTGGCAACAACTAAACATCTTCTACGCACGTTACTGGTAGCTCGACTGTTCTTATGTATCCCCTTTGAGGGAACATTGTTGGGGGAATGGGTTGCTTCTTTCTTCCTTTCAAGTCGGTTTGGATAGAGAAAAGAAAATCCTATGCATCTTCCTGCGCAATAGTAGTATATAGGCATCATTTGATGCCTCTCAGTAGCATCATGGTTCACTTGTTTCAGTCATACTTGCAATCCCGGTGGAGGCACGACAGACACACTCAAGACGCCATCGCGGCCTCCATATCTCTGGTATGGTGTCGATGAAACGAAAAGAAACGGCAGCACCTGCAGCTGAGGTCTGCCGAAGACTGGACAACAGGGCCAACATTCTTGTGTGCATCTTCAGAAAGGAAAACAGATGCAAGACATATGCAAACACAGTTGCAACAATTATATACATATATTCACCTTCCAAAGCTGAAACTTTTGGGACCAAGAATTGGATGCACATTCCCAGCAGTGATACTGCTCCAGCTTTAACCAAAAACGCTCTGCAGACCGCCAAATATCAAACTGCCAAGGTACACCCACCAACAAAGCTACAAAAATGACAGTGATCCTGCAACCCCTACTGACACAAAGCTGCGAATTTCGAACGGCGACAAAATCCAGCTGGGTTCCAAACCACCGCTCTTCCAAATCCTGACATTGACCCACTTATATACATTAGCAAGCATCTGAAGATGTCCAACTGTTGGTCCTATTATCATGAATCATGAACCTTATATCGTTTCCACTAGAAATGTTTAAATGTTTACAATTCAGCCTGTGTGTTTGATTGAACAACTGACATTCTCTTCTATGGGCCTCGCTCCGATGGCATCCCCCTCTCACCCCACACAATGATTTTTTGCCCTTGTTCTTCTTTGGTGCATGATCCTTCGGCAATTTCTTGTTTCTGCTCCATGCCTTTTCCGATGCAAGAATGAAAATGGAAACCTGTAATTCTTTCAAGAACAAAATTATGCCAGCATAGACCCAAAATCAGCTGCTTTGTGTCAAATGTTGGTGGTAACGTCGGTAATTTTGTGCCTGTTTGGGAACGGCGTGTAATGTTGGAAAAAACATGGGAATGATGACCATGGGCTGACTTTGTATACTTTGTGTGACTTTCTCAGTTACTGGACATAAAGGATCGATAAAGGCGAACGTTTCTCCAATTGATTGTTTGTAGTGATAAACTGACACCCCCAAGAGAAGGAGAGAGGGCTCGGAAGCGTGGCACGAGGACAGCTGGAGGACAAAAGGAGGACGGCAAAACAACTGGAGGACAAAATTCGCCACAGGAAGGCGACACGCGTACAAAGGGTTGAGGGGCGCGGCCACACACTGTGGCCAGCGTCTTTTACGCCAGCATGGACCCCAAGTTGCAAAAAGATTTGTGGGCAGCACACTGCAGCGGCACTCTGCAGCGCCCTCCAGCAGCGCCAGCACCCAGGCTCAAAAGCGCACACGGCCAAAGACACCTCGCGCATTTCGGGCGGCACCCTGCAGTGGCACCAGCAGCCAGGCTCCAAAGCGCACAAGTCCACACATCTGGCAGCGGCGCCCTGCAGCGGCACCGCCACCCAATAAGCTCCAAGGCACACACGGCCACAGCGCGCGCGCTGTCATGGTGTCATGTCTACGTGCTGCCATGCTGCCATCTGGACAAGCAGAAGGACAACAACGGGACAAGAAGAGGACAACGGCAGGAGAAGAAGATGACAAGAAGAGGAAAAGACAACGGACAAAAAGAGGATAACAGGAGGGCAAGAAAAGGACAAGAAGAGGCAGAAGAGGTCAAGAACAGGAGAAAAGGAGGACAACAGGAGGACAAGAAGAGGACAGGGAGCGGACAAAAAGAAACAGCAAAAGGACAAGGACTGGAGGTGGGCTAGCAGCCGCGCCAAGCTGAAAAGTGGACAACAGATGGACAACTAAAGAGGACAACAAAAAGACAATAGGCGGACATAGTGTTCACCGGCACGGCCAAGCTACATACCGGCAGGAGGAGAAAAAAATGACAACAGGAGGACAATGTCTGGAGACCCGCTGGCAGCCGCGGCCAAGCTGCACACCAGACGCAGGACAACAGGCGGACAACAGGAGTACTGTACAACCGGACACAGGCGTTTACCGTACCGACGCGGCCAGAGACTGTAGCCAGCTTCTTTTTACCTAGGACCTAAGCCTAAGAGAACTGAGAACCCCAACAGCAAGACCGTTTGAGGAAAAAGAGGACAACAGGAGGACAACACCCAAACACAGCGTTCACCGGTGCGGCCAGAGACTGGGGCCAGCTTCTTTTTTTTCTAAGAGAAAACCCCAACAGTAAACTGTTTGGGGAAAAAAGCAACAGTGAACTGCAAGAAGCTGCTAGGTGGAGGCCATCGCTATCAGGTTGGAGGGCATTACTACTAGTTAGCAAGAAGCTACTAGGGTCAAACTTCATTCCACCAGCCTCTTCGGCCGTCTCATCCACAAGCCTTGACCGAGAGATTTTAAAAAATAGTACTTCTCGCCTTTAGTAGGGCCCTGTCCAAATGGGCTCATTCAGGAGGTCTAAAGCATGCCTTGTTAAGGAAGTCTAGCAAATGGATGTCTAGATTCTAGATTGTGTAATCCACTCTCTTCAAAGGTTGTCGTTCAGACAATGCGTTCTGGGCTTCAGGCGGTGCACAGCTGCCGGCGGCCCAGTATTTGGCAACATGGCAGCCCATCGACCTTCACTCACTTAAGTCAGATTGCCATGCCCCATGAGCAAACAAGCAGCGCTAGACACCCTGGCCCTGCTCATTGCCATTTAATGCAGGCAGGCTGATGAAAAAGCCAAGGAAACAGACTAAGAGCCGTGCTTCTGGTCCACCGGCCGACCGCGCCACCCTTAACTTGTACCGGCCATCATCTCCATTGGCCTGCTGAGCCCTCTGGCTGTCCTACACATACAGGCAGCTCAGAACCTTCAACAAGTATGGGCTGAGTGGCTTGGCTGACTGCTTGGTTGTCTGACCCCCCCCTAGCTGGACTTGCCGACAAGTAAAAGCCACTTTCAGGTATTGTATCTAGACATGCAAAGTGAATGCCGGAAAGGTCTGGCGTCAACATGAGTTGACAGGCAAGATCCATCTTTGACATCTTTATTTCCTGTTTTCTCATCTCTTGGAGCATCCTTTGTGGCCAGCTTTTCCGCGGATAAGCATTCTCTGTGAAGTCTCTGCGGAGCTTCTGGCGTTGTGATCGGGCCGTCTGGGGAATTCAGGGTTCAGGTGCTCTCTCTCTCTCTCTATGTTTGAAAGGATATGATATATGGATAAATCCACTCCAGCTTTTGGGATCAAATACAACAGGTTCTCACTATTCGGGTCGTGTTGAGATCCTGGCTAAGCGATTTGCCAAACTCTGGCCAAGTTCTGAAACTGGCATCACACCCTGAACCCAGGGGAACATCAGCCGGCGGAACTTCCACTTCAATGCACTTCAGCCCAATCTAATTTGGATACAGTATGACTTCAAATCAAATCGTGCAACTACTGGCCTCACTTCTCCTCACTATCAGACCTGCTAATGGCAAGGCTGGAGTTGTTCACTGCTTGCTTGGACAAATGCACTCTATTTGGTGCAAGAAATTATCGACATCAGCATGGGTTATATATGTTTTACAATTGACTTGGCACCTTTCTCCAATCTTCCACGCCGACTAGGCAGCTTTGCGCCCACATGCAGATCCTACTTGGCCATCATTTGAAACAAGTGAAGACTAAAGTCACTGTCGGCTTCTGTTGAGAACCGCTTTGAAAGACTAAGAAAGGTGTGGCACCTCAGGCAACTTCAATGATATCAATCTCCAAGTCGCTGGGCATGTCCTGAAGTTTTGCCTTCTCTTGATATCTTTGGAGGTGCTGCAAAAGGGGTAAGTGTTGCTCTGCCACCGCAAAGGATTGAAATGTGGAAATGGACGCGGCACTTGCAGGCACATTGGCCGCACAACGAAGCTTGGTGGCAAGACCGTCAGATGCGCCCACGGAGATCCTGAACGGACGGTCATGCACTCCCAGTGCCACAGACAAGTGTGACTGCCGCAAAGGCTTTGATGTGGATGAAATTGACAAGACCGATCCAGAAGAATCCCAGGGCTGTCCGGTGTCGTCCTTCACAACTTCAACCTTGAGTTCCTTCAAAGCCGGAAGCAAATAACCAGCTGCTAACAAATCTCGTAAACCTGTGCTGCAGAAGTGACGGCTCACTTTGATGAGTCCTTCAATTCGTTGCCCAGGCCTCCTGCTCATCCTCCCCAAAGCAATGTTGGGACTTCGTATCTGCAAGCGTTCAAGGCCAGGCGCCAATGATGCCAAGACCGACAAATCACAACGGCAATGAGGAGAATTCCAAGTGGATCCATGGCCACGAACGATTGCGACAAAGCTCAAATCTCTAAGCTTCACCAAGGCTCGACCATCACATCCAGCTTCTCCAAGGCTTGATCCCCTCGCTTTCTCACGTCGCACAGCAGCAGCTGGAAGCTCCAGCCGCTCCGACCCCGTTCGATGTTCTGCATCCAGCAGCGCGTTTCCGGTCACTTCGAGCCCTTCGGACCGTTCGGCTCGGTCGGCGCTTTCGGGCACCTCGGAGTCAGCTTGCCGCACCGCTCCAGGAGATCCTTGACCCCCTTGAAGCCCTTGGCCCGGCAGGTACTCACCGGCCCTTTCCTCACCAACCTCCCACAGGATCTCTTCTGGCTCGGAAGTGCTGTCAGAATCACAGGCTTCCGGCAGTTCGTTCGTCTCCAACTTTAAATAATCACAAACCAAACGCTCCAAGTTGGGAAAGGAACTCAACCAGGCAGCTGGCAAAGAAGCCATGTGTGCACCTGTATTGTGGGAAAAGCTCCCCAAGTTGAAATAAGGATCACACTCGATGGTCAAGGCACGCAACGAGTCGATCTGACAACTTGTTTGGCAGAAGCTCTCAAGGTCGCGGCCTCTGAAACCACCCAAATAAAGCTCCTCCAGTTGAGAGCATTTGGACAATTGCTCCAGGTTCAAGGAAGTACTGAGTCGAAAGGGACCATGACTTGCAATCTTCAAGAACCTGCGCACGCAGGGTTTAAGAACCTAGGAGCATGTCGGCATTTACAAATGCAAAGGTGAGAAGGAAGTTCGTGTCCACCATCAAGAAGCAAAGTCGAGCAAGGCCACTGACCATTGCAAAGGTCACATCAAAACAAAACTGTACAAACAGCTAGGTTTATGTGGTTCAAGACTCTGGATGACAGGACAGCAGCACATTTGCCTGCATTGACTCCAATGCCACCACAAATTGTATGAGTAACCCAAGTCAAAACGGACATCCTTCCCCACAAGGCACAAACGATGAATCCCACATTTGCCGGATGTTTTTGTTTCGATGAAACCACTCAGTTGGTTGGAAAGAAACTTGGAGTAATGAACAAAATGATAGACCTGTCTCGAGCTTGTCCAAAATCGATTTCGACTGCTGGCCTCACACTGCCCCCAAACCTCTTTAAAAGGCTGCTCAAGCAAGCCAAATCTTCTGGCTCTGGCACGAGCTGGGCCCAGAGGGAAGGCTCAATGACGGCCTCACCAATTGGACTCAGTACAAAGCACCCATGCAGCGTCCTTGCTCCTAGTAGTAAGGGCAGGAGCCCCTAGTAGCGTCCTTGCTCCTAGTAGGAAGGCCAGGAGCCCCTAGTAGCGTCCTTGCTCCTAGTAGCGATGTCAGGAGCCCATAGTAGCGTCCTTGATGCAAACATTTCTCAACGACGACATTGTAGACGACATGCGGGCCTTTAAAAGAGTTGAGGCCTAGGGTCTGACATCTCAAGTCGAAGCAAAATCCAAAGCAGTCTGCCTCATGCCAACGACGGGCTAAAGAAGCACAGCGCAAGCGCTCGTGCAAAGGGCTAAAGGCCAAACAATTGCAGAGAGCATCCAAGGGACATCGATTCATCCGGCTGCACTTTCAAAAGAGTTGAATCGAAGGCAGTGCTGGTGTGTCGAATCTGGTATGCTAGAGGGCCTACACTGCAGTATGGAATCTATGTGTCGGCTCTATATCTGCGAAATGGCAACAAAAATTCTATTGAGTCTCTTGGCTGTGTTTGTCACTCTTTGGTTGTGATATTCTTGATCATTTGATGCTGGGCTATGGTTCCTCCAACTGCAACAGCTCATCTGAGCCGATCTTTGCACATGTAGTTTGACGTTCAACACTGTGAAAGCAAGCTGCGGTACCCCACTCCTGCATTTGCTATTCAGCACTCCAGCTTTTGACCAGATACTTCATTGTGTAGCACGTGACACTCTGTGTTCACACTTCGGCACTTCAGTCGAAGTACCAATTCAGTACTTCAAAGGGACAGCTCTACATCCCTGCCGTTGCTCTAGGCTTCAGCTGCCAGCTTGGACATACCCAAAGAATGTATCTAAAATTCATTGGTCAATCCGCCAGGTAGATAAGGGATGGCCCAACTTATCCTACGGTAAGGTAAGTTATGAAAGAAATAGGCCAGATCCCTAGCGGCTCTACCTACACGAACAAGTGCACGGTGCGAGTCAGAATGACGAGTACCCGTGACTAACGAAAAGCCGAACGAACGAAGGCACGGCGGCGATCGAACGAACGGAAGGGTGCGAGTCCAAGCGAACGGACGCGGAAGCGAAAGCAACGAAGGTGCGGCCCACACAGTGAGCACAGCACGGCGCCCTGAAGAAAACAGCGCGGCAGCACCGTTTTCTTGAGCCAATATGTCACGAGGAACGTACACTTTTGTGTATGCTCGTGTGAAACGTGACAAAGTAAAATGACTGTACATGTGGAGTACTGTTACATGTTAGGGGCCTGACTCCCTCGTCCCCGTTGCGGGGCAGTACTCTTACGTACATGCACGAATTACCGCGCCGGGTGGCAGCGGTTTCGACGACCTACGAACCTACGAACGGCTTGGAAGGCTTCGGTGCCAAGCAAGCATAGCGCTTTAAACCACTTCTGGGGCGGTAGCGCCTTAGTGAATATATCGGCGGCTCGCTCGTTAGTATCAACATACTTGATCTCGACGGCAGGGTCGTCAATACATTCTTTTAACGAACTTAGGTTGATTTTATGAGTTCGGCTGATGTGTCTCAATTTGGGGAGAAAAGCCCTTCCTCGCCACAAGAATCGTCGCCTGATTATCTTCTTGAATTACGAGGTTAACGGCTCGTCCAAGAAGTTTATCCCATAACTGCAAGGAAGGGAGTCCTTCCTGATATAGCGAGTATGCGAGACTCACGACTTCTGATTCAGTGGTGGACCTCGACGTAGACGTCTGGCGTTTGGACACCCATGCTAGTACCCACCATAGGTTGGTTTAACGTCACGTTGGTCGCCGCCGAAGTCGGCCTCTACAAACAACTCAAGCCAGAGCTCACTGCCTAGACGCTCTAACGCTGCGCTGGGGACAGCGCTGTCAACAAACGACACCCTCACATGTTGTTCGTTGAAAACGGCTTCGTCTGCATTCGCATAGTTCGCATATAGGTCATATCCTTTCTTGCGCTCCGCTGCCAAACCTGCTTTTTGACTCCTAAAGTTTTAGGGGTTTAAATGGCGAACGACAACGCCACTTACCTGCGGACGACAGCGGAACCTGTCATTTTGCTAAAGCGCGCACACAAGCAAGAACGGAACCTGTCGTTTGGCAAAGCACACACATGCGCAAACGATAGCGGAACCTGTCGTTTGCTATTGGCGCGCTTGCGACAACAGAAAGTGTCGTATGGATACCATGGCTTTCCTGAACCAAAGCATCTTGTTGTGCAAGAAAGTAAGTCATTGAGCCACTGTTTTTGGGCAAGAAACCCAATCCTTGAGCCAGACCATGTTTTTGTACGAGAAACGCTCGATGCGCGGTGAGTTTTAGTTCTCTAACATCGGTTCTTT